CTTGAATAAAAGAGAATTTTCAAGATCAGCTATCACGCCTCTCAAGTAGAAAGCAAAGACTTGCATGAAAAGAATTAAAAGGGAGGGAAAAATGTTTTCTGTGTACCTCCTCATGGCTCAAACTAACCTCATGAGCCAGAGCAGGAACAAAACAGTTCAAGTGGAGAGGACTGCTCATTAAACTAGATCATGAAGAAGTGTTTCCTCTGCAGGTTCTTAATGAACCTTGGGGACTAGAGTGACAGAAGACAACCCAGCGCTTTGGTTCCTCTCTTCTCAGGAGTTCCAGGTAGAAGAGAACCCCAGTGTGCAGGACTGTGAGTGAACTGGTTACTTTTCATAGCCAGTGATAAAATGTTTTCAAGAGCAACTTAAACTGATTTACCATGGTAGAGGAGCGTGGCAGCTGCAGGTGCTTGGCATACATGAGGCAGCTGGTTCCATTGTGTCGTCAGGAAGCAGAGAGCTTGAGGGAAGGATGCAGGCTGGGCAATCGCTTGCTAGCTCCTCCTCTAGGGTCCTGTACCTGCCAACTAGATCCCATGGCCAAAAGGCTCCACACTTTACAAGACAGCACCACAAGTTGGGGGATCATAAGTTCAAACACAAGAGTCTGTGGGTATCTATTTCATATTCAAATCATAACAGGGAGTGAGACAGTTGTCTTCCAGAAGACTAGATGTAATCAAGTAAACATGTTTCTTTACTGAAAGTTGGTTTAGTTAGGATTTGGTCTCAGAGCCAGTTAGAAGCAGGATAAAAGCTTAGAACTAGATTGTCATCCAAATTGACCTTATGGCTAGGCTAGTGGTATGGCTCAGTTGCAGTGTTTAGTATGCATGAGGACTTGTGTTACTCGTTGGTGAGGTGGGTGAGCAATTCGAGTCTGGAAAGAAAAAGGAGGATTCTGACTGGGTAAGAGCTAACCCTCTGACAGGTCCAGAACTGGAATGAGGGCTCTCATCTTATTCCCAATTTACAGAATCCTAAAGGCATAGAACATCTTGGAACTCAAATCCAACCCATGTAAAATTGTTTATTCTCCTTATATTAAAATGATTGCTCTAGACAGAAAAGGATCTGGGTACATGTATATGCAAATAAACAGGAGGGCAATTTGAATGGATGTGTTTGTTGTCTTGCTATTGTAATAAGCTATAGTAGTAAAAGTAATAATTATGGTGTGGGCTGGGACTGTATCACAGGCTGTGACTGTATCACAGGCTGGGACAAAAGACTCAGGACTAAGAAATTATAGCCTAAAAGCTCAGTCATGAACTATTAGTATCAGAATTTTCTGGTTTTCATTGAGTTCAATGTCACATTTTTTAAGGGGGGATAAATCCATATGAATTCCAAGAAGAATATAATTTTTTTGTTTATTGCCATACAATGAAAAAAAACACAACATATCTAGAAACTTCAAATGGAAATAATGATAAATCTTCAATTCTCAACACCCTTTTAATAGCCATTACTAGGAGACTTGAAAGACAGGTTTAAAAGTTTTTCGTGGGTTAAACTTAGAACTAAACAACATCTCAATTACTTCTTTTGTCCAATATACTCAGCCTACATAAGCACAAGTCTGTCTTGGTTGCTCCATCTCTTGGTACTTTGGAAAAGACAGTGGCTATAATGAAAGGTCATTCATTTAGTCCAAAGAGAAACCCATGTTGTTAAGAACTACTGGCCAGTGAGGAAGCAAGGGTGCCAGCCAGCAGCCCAAGGATAAGCTTTCTTCAGTCAGATCCTCTTAGCTGTAGTCAAATCTGTGAATGACTGCTACTGGGCTTCATGGGAGATGCTGGGGCAGGGTCATGTCACTCTGCTTATGGATTCTTGACCATCGTAGCTGCGTAACAAAAGCTGCTAACTGTTATTATGCAGAAATAAATAACAGATTTTATGCCTAAGGGTAATCTTTCTTCTGCATGAAAGCTAAACAGAAATGAAGATGAGAGGCAAAGAAAAGTAAACTGTGTTTTGGCCATTGCCACCTTTTCTTCCGAGCACATCTTTTAAATATAGGCATGCCTATGGGCATGCCCTTGTTCAGCACTCTGCATTTAGTCTGAATGTCATAGAGAAGGGGTTCAGTTTTAGTTCTAGGGATGTATATTATTTTCTTTGAACTAGAGGATCTACTGCTGAGAAAAGAATCAAGAGACTTTCTGAGAGTCTAGGATTTTCTGTGGAATAGGATGGGGGCCTCAACCTTTTTTGGGTTGAGATTTAAAGTTTCACTTATTATTATTATTTGAATACTAACACAACTAAAGTATGAAAAGTGTGTTTTGATTTCTCTATTAGTTTTTGTTATGAAACATTGGAAGACAAGAGAAATAAGAATCCATTTCTTTCAGCCTATTCCTCTTTCCATCTTACAATCAATGCAGTAACTTTAGCAAGAGACACTAAAAATAATGGCATATACAAAGCACTTCCTAAGTGCATCCATCATAGACACAGATAAAACCTGTGTCTGAAAATGGTTTTCTAAATAGAAGAAGTGTGTTTCATACAAAAAGTCCATTTTCTGTTATTGCCTTTTTGATTTGGACTACTAGATGCTATACATTTTAAGGCAATTTTAATGGTTTCTTGTCTCGTGCTAACAAGAAGGACTTGTCATAATGAGGAGTGTAGACACTGTCCATTTGATCTACTCTGGAGAGCTGTCTATTTGATACAGAGCAAATCACCTCCATTCCTTTGTGGAATGAACTGAGTACAAATAAATAAAACATAAGAATAAAAATAAATGTGGTCAGTTCTATCTGAAGGCAACAAAGGATTGGGATATCTAGAGGCTCTTAATAAAAATGTGACAAGACAGAGAATAATATAAGACTAAAGTAAAGGGAGGAATAATTTTTCCTAGCATAAAGTGTCCACAGAAGAATTTCTTATTTAGGAAAGTGGATGATTTTGTGGTTTAATAACAGTTCTTAAATCTTTAAAGTCAGAAGAATAAAATTCACCTTTAACTCCACAAAAAATTAATTTTCAGCATTCTTCTTATAATTTATCACATTGATCATCTGGGTAGGAATTTTGGATTCCATTTTGGTTAAATAGACACTTTGAAGGTGTCTTTTTTTGGTTATTATTTCACATGTTTTACTTGAATGGTTAAATTTTTGTCTTTACTGTTTTGTAAGACAAGGGCACCTAAATATTCTAATTTTTCCTTTTAGAATTAGTACCTAGTATTGTTTCTTTGAGAATTATGTGTCAAAGTGCATTTTGAGTATTAGTTTTTATGAATACTATTTGAAAAAACTGATATTCACCTGGTACAGGGAATTGTACATGTTAAGTACAAGTTTTGATCTATTCTTTAACCCTGACATTTTTTGATGAAATATTCATAATAGCACTATTATTCTATATTAGGCTTAGGATTCCAGCTGGGGATGACACTTAACTCCAAATTTTCTTCTGTAAAAAATCGGAAATAGTAGTGAAATGTTTCTCAAAATCAAATCTCAACACAGCTTATATTTGTTTATTAGAGACTGTTTTTCTCTGGGGTAGAACTTGAGAATCCACACCTTAGTAATTTCTCTCAGTGATCCTAAGGCAGATTAAAGTATAAGGAACATTGGTT